TCATTTTCAAACATGTATTTATTGACCAACTTTAAAATGGTCAAAACAAAAGAACCGATAACCCCACCAGGTATATGTATATATAAGTTTAATGTGATTTATATCAAAATATAAATGACACCACAAACACAATAACCATTCCAATTTGCATTTATTCTATATAATTATACGAACAAAAGCAATTAAATTCAACTTAATCAAATTGCAAATTGACAGCTTCAAATGCATCGAATCGCCTCGCCATTCGTCCCATCGATAAAACAAATGCAATTGACCTGAATTTCAAAATTGCAAGCATCGAGCACGAACGCTTCCCCCATTTCATTCGAATAAGTATCGAACATCTTTCACTGCCGCCTCGTACAATCAATAATCGAACGTGTGAAGGAGGGATACTATACTATATATATATATAAAACAGGAGTGGAACGATGCTTAAAGTAGCCTGCGTTAATAAAAAATGTAAATTTTATGCCCCATTTGAGTAGGAAAAAAATGAAATCCAACACAATAAATACAAATTAGATGAAATGTCAAACCAAAAGCAACGAGGGAAGAGGATTTACAGGGGAAGTATTGATCAAGGTGGGTCTTGATAAGTATTTAAAAGTTATACTATATTTTCTTATATAATATAGAGCTTTAAAATCAAATTTAGCTTACTAAACTTCAATTCAATTTATAAAAATTTTAATTTAAAACATTCTTAGATCCAACTGAAACTATGGTCCACTCCTGAAAGCCTTCTCACGCTTCATTGCTGGCTAAAACATGAAGCAAAATCCAATATGCCTTCGCTCTGGACCCAGGTTCAGAGTGCAAGTTACAAACTCACGTAGAACGCCGTGACCTCCATCCTTCCAATCCCTCAATCCTCCCATCCACTGACCATTGGACTCCTCCTCGATGGATGTCTGCTGTTATCGCTGGAGGCGATATTTTCAATGCGCTGTCGGTAAAAATTACGCACTTTTAGTTGGTCGCCTTCATTCAGCGAGTTGTCTGAAGCGTTTCTTTTTTTTGCTAGCCAGCGGCGGGACATGAATATTTTAAAAAATTCGCTGGGCTCATCGCAAAGATTGAGGCGATGTTGGGAGAAGAAAACCAGGAGCCAGGACACGCACAATGAATAATTTAAGGACCCAAGAGGAAGCAGGAAGGCTGGCAGAGAGGGAGTCCTGGCATCATCAAATAAATGCCAAATGAGCAATCAAAGTGCCATGAAAGACTAACTAAGCAGAGCCACCAACTGATGAGGAGCTGTAAAAAATGATGTACACGAATTATCGGGACAGTGGGTGTCATTGGGTGGGTGGTTTGCTTCTAAGGACGAGTGGGTGGCCTTGGGTTCCCTCGCAAATGAAGCGCGTAAACAGCAAATAAAGTTTGAGAGAGAGAACATTTTTACGCATTTTTGCTTGCATAAATAATAAAAAGTTCTTTTACTTTTTTCTCTCCACCGAAAATCCAGAACATGATTTTTTATGCAGAGCATGATATAAGGATAAGAATTTATAATATGAGGGATACAGAAAACATTTTTATATTACTTTTTGGGTGACTAAAATCGATAATGCTATGACTTTCTTATAGTAAAAGTGGGTTTTAGTTATTAAATAATAGGAAAATGCTAGGAAAAATGTAAAGAATATAACTCTCCCTTTAAATTTTTCTTTGCCCTTTGGCTTTACAAACTTTACCCAAGGATTATCCTTTATTTTATCTCAAAAAAAGGATTAATTTTCGAGTGCATTCATTAATATTTTCCTGATCGCCTGTGGCAAAATTTTGTTAAGAACTCTTTAAAGTGGCCTAGGCATCGAAGACAAAAGGCAATAGCTGGGAAAACTGAATTATAGATTCAACTCGAGGCGTAGGAACTTGGCGAGCATTCCTGCTCCATTCCAGTTGAAGACAAAAACTTATTATACTTCCGAGCTTGTGCCGCATCAGCTGGGACTCGATGGGTGAAATGGTTGAAACCGTTGTTGTTGGTTGTCGATGCGGTTTTCCACAGGCAAGGGGGGAAAGAAGTCCCATATTGCCGATACATAAGCAATTGGTATGTACAACTGCGCCTCCTGGCTTTCCCCACTTTTCACCCCAAAGAGAGAGCGGGAAATGCGGTTATGAATTCCTGAACAGCAAAGTCGGTGGAAAAAGCATCGACTGCAGTTGCCTCGAAACAAGAAGAAGTGCAGGCCCAAGTTTTATATTAAAACTCTTGTGCAGTGAAATGAGTGTCGGGGCTAAATAAAATATATATACATATATATGAAAACCAAAAAGTTTCATAAAACATTTGTGACTTGGCGCAGTTTTTTATGGCTCTCTCAACTTAAAGTTGAACGTGTGGAGCAGAAATGAAAAAATATATATACAGAAACTACGGGGACATTAACTAAGGAAACTATTGGCCGGGAACTCCTCTATCCGACACAGGCACGTTTTTGTGGCCACCGTTTGGAAACGAAAGTAGGGGAATTTATTGCATTGACATACTAAGACCACTAAGACGCTTCTATGTTGTTATCGAAATGGGCCAAAATGCGCTCAACTGTAAAAATTGTATGTGCCACACACACACAGTGAGGTGGATAAAAAGGATGCCATTATATGGGTTAGTCGAACAAGACTAGCTGGATTATTGATCTTGATCCTATCTTTGGGGTGATAATAAATAGGGAACAAGGTATGTAAGTTGGGTTTTAATATATAGTTTTAGGTTTTTCAGTAAGATAATTAAACCTCTTTTTGCTTATGGCAACAACTCAATTAAACTGACTATATCAAGAAACGTTTTATAAGTGAACATATATTTAAGGAGTGTTAAAAGAATATATTTTAAATCGTTCAGTAAAGCAATTAAACTAGAATTGTGTCATAAAATCTAGTGTGATAACTCTTACTGTTTAAATGTTATAGCTCTTTTGGGATTGAAGACACAAGCTGTTCTGATTTGTAATGAAATTACTTTAAAGCATAAAGAAAATATATTTAAGATGCATAATAATCTTAAATAAGTTCATTGTTTTGGATTAAATTTGTCCTTTCTCGAATCATTTCTTTTTTAACCATATTCATAAATATAAACTTTAAAAATTATGACTCATAAAAATATGAGTCATATATAAATATTTTCCACCAGTGGTAAAAAAATCCTTCTTTTTTCAAAACGTTTTATCTATGCACGTGTATTTTTTTACTTCCTATTGAATATATACTGAATAATTAACACAAATTGAGGTAAAACATGAAACCATCAAATCAATATTTTTATTTTGTTAGGGTTCCAAAACAATAAATAAAACTACTAGCTGAACGCATTGTGTTCTATATAAAAAATTACAGAACAAATATGGAAAACTCAAAACATTTTTACCATAACAACATGGATACTAATTGCTACACTCTGGACTTAAATGGGCGTAACAAAAATACCATTATTGTGCACTTTGAACCCATCATCTGTGCTTACTCACAATTGGCTAACAAAATACCGTTTCATTGTTGGGTTTTGTTAAGCCGAAATGCCAAAACACAAAAGCACACCAAAAATCGACAGAATTCATTGCCGGGGAATGCAGCAGGCAACAACTTAAGCCTTGGGCAGCCCCAAAACAATACACAAATCCCAATCTAAGGCTTAAATGCCAAAACAAATTTTGCAACAAATTTTTAGAGGGGGGGGGGGGTAACGTTATCGAAATGACCCATTGACTGTTGTGCACTTTGGCTAACAGCCATATACATAGATACATACAGAGACACGAGATGCACTCTAAACACATACAGATATCGCTCTAATGAAACGCAATATCTTCGAGACAATGCTAATTGCCTGGGATGCAAACAGAAGATGCATTGAGCACAGCAATATGCAACCGAATTATCGGACGAAACGAGGCACTGCTTTATGCACAGAGAGAAAATATTGGAGGCAGAAATTAAAGGGATTATGAATTTACAAAAAATTATGTAGAAAATGTTAGCCCAAGGTTTTATATCTTTGCCATAGAGCTATTTGGTTTGGCATATTTTGAGAAAGTGTTGAAATTTATAGACCTGTTTTAATTGCCTTAGAAAAACACGTAATACAATTTTAATAAAATTTTCAGAAAAGGGGAAAAGATATAAATTTCACTTTAAAGAAACTACTTTAATTTTTCGCAGTGTTTATGCGGTTCTCAGCTAGAATGTTTGTGTGCGCATATTTGTGCAGAAGCATCCATTCCTCTGCACATTTCGTTTACTTGGCCAAAAGCCAATTTTCAGCCAAAACGCATGCCAAATTTGCCAAAAACGAAGCGAAACGAAATAGGAGAAAATAGCTAAATATTTTATGATATCGATGAGGCAGGCAGTTTTACTCCCAAGCTGCCATTTTTCCTCCTCGAAAAGTAGTTCAGCAATGCCAGCTAAGCGCACTGACAGCCCCCCATTTAAATGTGTTTTGTATACCCTATACTTTGATTAAGGGAATGAATTATGGTATAATAGAATATTAGAAGGAAATAAAATATGGAAAACTAAAGGAAAAGAGTGGGAAAGTTTGGAAAGTAATATAGAAAGCAGTGAAATCTGGTAATTGTATCCTCAAATTCTTGTAACACCACTTAAGATTTATCTTTAGAATACAATTGAAACATATTCTTGTGGTTTTTCTTTTAAATATATTTTTTAGGAATGGTTTTTGCTTCTTCCAGTGAAGAGTTTGTAGCTAACTTGACCCAATAAATAAATATCCTTTTACTTAGTTCCACAATAGAGTATTTACCCATAGCTAAGCTCCCTGCAACAGTGCTATTACTCGTTTATTGTGGCCATTTATGGTTTGTTTGGTGAAATATGAGCACAGTTTTCCACGGAAAAGGGGATAACTTGGCCTAAACCCCCCTCAGGGCCAATCAATTTCCCAATGTCAGCCTAAAAGTATGCCTCCACCGAAGCTCGCCACCGAAAGCTTCGAGAGTGGAATAAAAACTTGTACTAAGACTCACCTGCAGTTGCAGAGTTAGAGGAGTTTTCACCTGTCCCTCGACTTGTACCCTGTTCGAGTCGATTCAGGGAGTCGCTGCCGGAACGCTCCTTGCCACGCCAAACACTAACGCCACAACATTCGGCACAGCAGCAAAAGACAAATCCAAGGATGAGTAGAATCCAGGCGGCGACCATAAGGACAATGGTCGATGTGGAACGATAGCTATAGTTCTCCTCACCGATAAGCACCAGAACACTGTCCGCCGTGAGATTTGCATGGGTGGCCGTTCCATTCGTATGGAAATCCAACAGGCCGGCCTCCAAGGTCGGTCCATAGAAGCCATCGACATTGGCCAGAGCCGCGTAGCTGCTGCCAACCGAATGCAGATACGGCTGCTGCACTTTGGTCAAATGCAGCAGCGTGTAATTAGACATGATTGATCCACTCACTCCACACACTTACACACTCACTCAGCCTCAGTCAGTCAATCAGTCAATTGATCACTCAATCAGTCACTCTTTAGACCGAATTAACTCGAAATCGAATGAATTGAGCCGCCAAAACGTGACCGTTTCTGGCTGCCGAACAAATTGAACTGTTCCTACTACTACGTTTTATCTATTTTCCATATATGTACACATAGGAACGAGTATTATTTGTATTATATTTTTGGTTTTTTGAATCTTGGTTTGGTGTTGTGTGCGATACAGCTGACGACTGACGACAATCATCGTTATCACATTGTGTATTTAGGCAGATAGATCGAGCCAGAGTGACAGAATCCCGTCTCTTGTTTAAACAACATTTTGTACTCGCATTAACGCCTGCCTTGCTACCCTGCCAGTTTTTTAATTTTCGCTCTATTTTGCTGTGAGCCAGAAAGGCCTGTTTCGGCGTCTGTCTCTCACGGGTTTTTGACCGACTTTTTGTTTACCAGCGAGAGGCTTTGGCTATTATAGTGGCTAAAATATCGATTCTCTCGACCGATCTGAGTTTGTGGTGGGTTCTCTCGGGTTAAGTGGTGAAGCTTATTGGGGGAGAATGGTGTGACGAGCTTTTGGTTATGTTTTTGGATACAAATAATAATTAAATAATCTAAATCTTAAGGATCAATAAGTATCTCTCAGTAATAAGTTACTATGAACCGTAAGTAACCATGTTCCTTAATTAACTATGATCAGTAAGTTTCTATGAGCAGTAACTCTGAACATTAGGTATCTATGACCAGTTAGTAATTATGATCAGTAATTAACTATGACCAGTAAGTATGTATGTATGATCAGTTACTTACTTTGAACACTAATAAACAATGACTTGCAACTTTTGTAACACAACACATTTCAGAGACGTGGCCGGCAGCAGTCACTTCGTTCCGGGTATGTTAGAACTGGTTGGGAATCATATGCACAGATGTGCGAGATGTGTTTTGGAACAAATTTAAGAGGAAGCTATTTGATTAAAACTATGCAGTTATTCTTCTATATAATTTTATTAGTATCTAAGTCGGCGTAACAATGAACTATATATATAAATATATATAGCTGCCATAGGAACAATCGGACGATTTAAAGAACTATGATCAGTAATTAACTAAGAGAGGCAAGTAACTAAGAGCAGTAAGTAACTCTGAACAGTAAGTATCTATGACCAGTAAGTAACTATAATCAACAATGTTAACAAAGAACATTAAGTAACTATAATCAGTAAGTAGCTATGGTCAGATAATAACTATGATCAGTAATTAACACTGAACAGTAAGGATCTATCATTAATAAGTATCTATGACCAGTAAGTATGTAAAGGGGACCAATGTCTAAAGTCTATACCGAGGTCTGATACCACCAATAGCTTCTTTATACATAATATAAATGTCATGGTTAAGACTTACCGCAGTAAAGGACACGTCATTGTTTACTTCCTTCCAGTGTAGTGACCAAGATTGGGTGACTTTATCCAAGTGAGCTTCTTCCTGGTCATCCAGATGTATTGCATTGGCCACGTCATATTTTTGGGATGGAAAGGTAATCACTATCACTATCACTTGAGATGTTAACACTAGGTACCCCTAGGACAGACTAAGGCGCGCGGGCCCTTAGCGCCTCTATTTATAGTCCCCGAGGAAAGAGAGGCGCAGAGAAAGTGAGTGTGAGTAGGCGGGAGAGGAGTTGCCTCTAGAGATTAACATAGAGCCACTAACATAGCGAGAGAGGGGGAGAGGCAGGGAGGAGCAGCGAGGTGATATTTAATTAAACTCTGATCAGTAAGTAACTCTGATCAGTTAATATTAATAAGCATTAAGTAACTCTGAACAGTACGTATTTATGAACATTAAGTAACTATGATCAGTAAGTATCTATCACCAGTAAGTATGTATGATCAGTTACTCACTTTGAACACTTATAAACAATGACTTGCAACTTTTGTAACAACACATTTGTGAGACGTGGTCGGCAGCAGCCACTTCGTTTCGGGGATGTTAGAACGAGTTGGGAATCATTTGCACAGATGTGCGAGATGTGTTTTGGAACAAATTTAAGAGCAAGCTATAAGAATGAAACTATTATAACTCTGTTAGACTTAGAACCTTAGAATAAATTGCTGAATTATTCTAAATTAAAATTAAGTAATGGGGTCCAAGGCAACAAGAAAATTAGTTTAAAATTAAAGGCATAGCTGACATAGCACAGCTGACTCTAGATTAAGGCAAAATCAGGGAAATGATCTTCTTTCTGTTTATCCAGATATATTTTACTGATCAGATAATATTTTTGGGGTTGTGGGGCAATCGCTAACACACCCAGTATCACTATAGATATGCACAGGCGGGAGGCCACGAACAGACTGAAGCCAGCTCGTCGGCCGTGCTTGTATTTATACTCTTCGAGCAAAGAGAACAGAGAAAGTGAGAGCGAGAGCTTGAGAGAAAGCAAACATCTCGAGAGTTTGGCAGAGAAAGAAAGAGTTAGGCTCCAGAGATACATTGAGAGAGAGGCATACAGAGATACAGGGAGTTGGAGAGAGAGAGAGAGACAGAGAATGCTATTCACGACCATTACAACATTATATTATTATCAGAAAGACCGATAACTTTGGCACACCACCATTGCAAATTTCAATTTAATTATTAATACTTAATATAATATAAATTATATATATTTATATTGAAATATAACGAAGTAATGCCTACTGTCATTACATTCACCTATATATATTAATTATATTGTATATAATATTATGTCGACAACTTTTGGGTTCAAGCAAAAAAGCTCAATAAATAAAATATATATACTTAGTTAAATATTTAAAAATGCTGTTTAAATAACAGAAAACGTGCAAATGATCCATGCGTTGACATTTTAATAGGCCAGACCTCAGTATAATATTTTAATTAAGATCTTTAAGACATACGACGAGGAGAGTTATGAGAATTTATATTTGCTTTCATATAATCTACTTGCTACTTTTGACTGGTAAGCACATAACAAAACAATAAAAAAAATTCAAATAAATAAGGAAGGATTTTTACAGACTTTGGACTAACTAAGCCTATGCAAGAAGAAATCCCTGAAGATCATTTAAATCGACCTGATGTGGATTATAATGAGGACTATGAAGGAGTTACGATGTCATATAATGATCACAACAATAACATCGATAACGTTAATATTGACTTAGATTTTTATTCTGATCCTAAAACATTATCTGATAATGAATTATTTGAGGATAATTATAATAATGATGATCGAAAACCATTCCGAATGCTAAACGTCCTAAGTCGTGGCTCCCAAAAAAAGATACAAAAGCCAGAACAAGATTTAGATTATGAAATAGAAGATAGAATTGTGCGTTATGCAATGCATAATAAGCGTGAAGAAATTTAAATTGTACAGTTAATACAAAATATTAGAAATAATTTAACTTATATCTTAAATAAATAAAAGTAACATACTAGTAGTTTTAATTTCAATGCTCTCTATTTTATTTGTATAAATTCATCAATAAAATTAGTAAAATGTAGGCAACTTAAGGCCTAATGCGCTGCATGCCAGCAAGCTCAGCAATGTCGGCACAATTCATGCGGCGATTCCATCCTAAAATAATAGAAATTAGTCTTTAGAAATCTCAAATTTCAAATAAAATGATTATATATAACTTACCCAAACAATTCAACTTGGTGAGTTCGCAACGTCCCACATCCCTCCAGCGCCAAGTCCTGCGTGTCCTGTTCCTGCACTCCCTGTTCAAGGTGGGCATCTTGCGATCGTTCTCATTATTTAGTTGCCTCACACAGGTCTCACACCTCCTGGCCAGTTCATCGCAATCCCGATCTTGGCCAGCGACCAGAGTCAGGCAGAGGACTATGGAACCGAATATAGGATTTAATAATCAAAGGACACACTTTGTTTTGTCTAAGATTCAGGACTTACCAGCAAACAGGGCTAGAATAGCTTTAAGATGCATTTTTTTGTAGCTTGCTATCTCTGGTTGAGAACTTCTCAGATGGCTAACTACAGCTGATTTCAACCCGATTTTATAGAAACACCAAGGACTACGTGGAGCAAGTTCAACAGATGTTTTAACACAATACAATAAAAGTTATACAATCTGGTAATAAAAGATGCTTTTAAAACCAGGAAATTTATGATAAATGGGTCGTCTTTTGATTATTGTTTTAATTCATGAAGATAAAGAAATTATATTTTAAATACAATAACAATGCCTTTCCCCAAACTTTCCGCACTTTATAAAAGCCAAGTTGTGGTTTATTTGAAGCAGAAAACTTAATTGTAGAATTCAAGCAAGATGTCAAAGACTGTTCTGCTTTTTGGTAAGGATATTGCACATCCTGAAAGTAAACATTTATTCTTAATAAATGTTTATCTTTAAGCCATCGTTGTCCTGGTCTTTGTGACTGTTGAGGCACAAACTAGGCGACCAATCAATCGACAGATTTGCCAACGCCAAAACGAGAGGTGTCTCCGCAATGAGCCCAGAAATGGACGGAACAATGACATTTCGGAGATCTTCAATCAATGGTGTCGGGGATCCAACCCAAGATGGCGTAATATTTCACGATGCGAACTAACCCGGGCCACTTGTCGCTGTGAGTGATATCTTGATTTAGTTTTCTGCCTATTTAAATTATTAATTCATTATTTGAATTGTTTAGTAACCCTTGAGAACTGTGCCACCTTGTCCTGTGAGAATGTGAGGCGAGCTCTGCGGGAGGAGCGCACGACTACTACTAGGCGTCCAGGGCCCCGCGAGGAATAAAAAGATCTTCATCTTACTTAATATTGACTTAAAAACGTTGTATGCCTATTAATTAATAAAAAAAAAAAATAACTTAATGCTCTATAAAAGATGATGTTTTAGAGAATTTTAATAATATTTATAAGATAGTATTTATCTTTTATGTGGTTCAGCCTATAAGTATTGCTGAATAAGATCAAGCTACGTTTATTAAGGAAGATGGTTTCCTACTTACGAAAACCATTCCACATTCAAGACTGTCATATTTTATTAACTTTTCGATACATTCTTTAGAATAAACAATGTTGAAAATGCGTTTATAAAATGGCTTATCAAATATCTTTTTAAACTTTTTAAGAAGAAAGAATTAGTATTCATATATTAAAAAAATATATATCAATTTTCATTCTTGTACTACGAAGTATCCTAAAAGTTGTTACATAAATTTGAATATAATAATACTTAAAGCTAACCTTACAAAAGAAAAAATCTTCTCAGATTTTATAAATTATTATTATTGTTATGTCGTAGTATTATATACATTTATGTCTTGATTTCTTTTACTCTTACTCAATGAATTGTATTGTAAATAAAGTAATCAATTTGTAATTTAATGCTCTATAAGTTTTTATTTATTCGTTTCATTATAAAATCATATAGATTCAGGTCCTCCTAATACTTTGCATACCAGCCAATTCTGCCACATCTTGACAGTTCATGCGACGATTGATGCCTATAGAAGCAATATAAATCACAATTACATAGTTAAAGATATACCAAATATTAAAATCTGATTAAATTTTACCCATGCAATTAAGTTTAGTGAGTTCGCAGCGACCAACATTACGCCAGCGCCACATTCCCTGAAGCTTTGCCCTGCATTCATTATTAAAAACGGGCAACCTGTTGTCACTTATGTCATTGAGAGTCCTTACACAAGCCTCACATCGCAACTGCAAATGCTCACAGTCGCTGTCTTGGCCAGAAACCAGAGACAGACAAAGGACTAGAAGGCAAAGATATAAATTATCGAGTTATACTATTTAATTTTCCGATGAATTGAAAATAAAACTTACCAGCAAATACAAACACTAAAGCTTTAATATGCATTTCTCTGGGTAAGAACTACAGAAGACACTTCACAACCGGTCTTTATATAATCACTTATCCCAAGATTTAGTGGGTTCAACAGATGTTTTAAAACAATTATATTTATAATGAAATAAAAGACATTTTAAAACTATTTAAAAACCAGGAAATGTTTTATAAAATATGCCTCTTTTGTAACTATTATGAATAAAGTACTTAATATAATAAAGACACGTTTTATAAAGTAATTGCAGTTTTTTTTCCATCAGCTGTCTGGGTTCTTTATAAAAGCTAAAGGATTTTCACGACTTTAGTTCAGAAATTGAAGCAGAATTAATAAGATGTCCAAAATTGCAGTGCTTTTTGGTAAGAATCTTAATAAATATTACTTTCCCAGGTCGGTTTTAATTTATTAATATATTATTTTAGCTGTCTTTTGCCTTTTGACCGCTGTTCAGGCTCAAACCCGTGAGCCAACTCCTCGTGAGATTTGCAGAATTGTCAATGAAAGATGTCTGAGTCGTGTTCCTGTTCATGGAAATAGATCTGAAGTTACAGATATACTGAATGCACGTTGTCGTCGTAGGCATCGAAACTGGCGAAATATCAACCGATGCGAACTAGCCCGGGCTACTTGTCAATGTAAGTGCTTATGCTATTATTTTTATAAAGAAACTGATCTTAATATTTTAAATATGTTATTTAAATATTTTATAGTGACTATCGAGCGCTGTGCTGCCTTGAGCTGCGTGAATATAAGGGCAGCCCTAGCATCAAATCGTCCTACTCCATCTACAACCACAAGACGGCCCTCTTCCTAGATATTGACAAGGTCTTACTTCCAGAATATAACTTAATAACAGAACAAGTTTTATCCCAGAAAAATAAAAATATCAATGCTCTCTATATCTTTGTTTTAATTTAATTAATTCGTCATTTGCTTGTGGTAAGTCTGATACTTTAAAGATTCATTGTTAAACAGCTACCTATATATTTATATTTAAAATATTGAGCCAAGTTTAACCACCTCATCCACACATTTATCTACCCCTTTAAATATGCATTTTTAATGTTTGTACAATTGTTAAGCATTCTTGAAATTTATAAGAAAAATACAACTCGCTTAACGTTTATTCGTAAAATATAACTTGACCAAGTATGATACCCATAAGCTCTGCTAAGCTAAATAAGAAACTGGCTAACCACACTCGAAAAAGATCTCTTTTCAATGAAAGTAAGTTAATTTTCATTAAAGTAGTCAGAAGTGAAACAACTTATACTTAATTTATTTAAAAAGGTTGTTCCAACAGAAGAAACTGCGTTTGTCTTTCTTTTGGCATGGTTTTCGGACTTTGCCTGGCGGGAATATTCTTTTATTCTATATTGCCAAAAGAGGAATATCGAAATAACACTCCAAATATAATGAAAACTATAAGACTGGAAGGTTTAAGGAATAAGACTCAGAACAGTACTTCGAGTTACTTTAATTCAGCTCCGAAAACTGAACAATCAATGTTTCCATCTACAACAATAAGCTTAGAAAATTCTGTTGAAGAAATTCATGAGAATAATGATGTAAGTGACGAAACTGTATAGTCTAAAAGCTTTAAAATATTCTAAAGATATTTGTAAAAACTTGAATATTTTATATATAAGATAATAATGTATTATTTGAAAACTGTATGCTTATTTCTGAGAACTTAGAAGCTAGCTTGGATCAGCTCTACTTCAGTAAAATTTGTAAGAAAAACACCTTTTTCTAGAGAGCATTGAAATTAGTGGATTTTATTTAAGCAGCTTAAGGATAGTTGTTGTTAACGAGATCAAAATCATTTTGGAATGCCTTATTCCTCTGGAGTCCTTTGAGTAGTAGTGCGCCTGGACCTTCTAGTTGTTGGAGTCCTTCGAGTAGTAGTCCTTCGAGACCTTCTAGTTGTTGGAGTCCTTCGTGTAGTAGTCCTTCTAGACCTTCTAGTTGTTGGAGTCCTTCGAGTAGTTGTTCGTCTACCTCTTCTAGTTGTTGGAGTCCTTCGAGTTGTGGTGCGAGTTCGACGAGTGGTGCGAGGTCGAGGAGTTCTGGTTGGTGGATTACCGCCGGACGGTTCAGGAGTTTCAGGACGTTCCGTACGAGGCGTAGGGATTCCAGGAGTGGGTGGACGACCCCCACCACTGCCTAGAGCCCTCCTCACATTCTCGCAGCTCAGAGTGGAGCATCGAGCAAGGGTTACTTCAAGAGTTATTTTATTAATTAATCAAGAATTTGTTTAAATATATTCATACTCACATTGACAACTGGCCCGAGCTAGTTCACATCGTGAAACATTCCGCCAGTTGCGGTTGGAACGACGACAATTATCATTAAAGACATTTGTTACCTCATTAAACCTGCCATTTCGATTCTCACGACTCAGACATCTATCATTCTGTCGCCGGCAAAGATTTGGAGTTTGACCTTGGGCACTTGCACAAAGGCCCAGGATTAAAAGGGCTATAAGAAAAAACTTTCTAGTAAGGAACTATTTCATTCAAAAAGTAGTTTTATATCCTTACCAAAAGCCACAGTAAATTTTATCATGTTTCTGTGGCGTTCCGAAAACTCGGCTATGAACTGTACTTAAATTTAGCGAAAACTTGGGCTTTTATGAAAATCTAGAAGTCATTTTTTTATGACCCGGAAGGTACTATTTTTAATACCTTAAAAGATGACCCACTAATTGAAAGTATTTTGAAATGAAACGATTTCTTAAAGCTATTGTTTTTTTTAATAATAACTTTTAGCTATTGTTTCGATTAAAAACAGCTGCTTTAAGGGCTTGTGTAGTGATTGGTGAGGCTTTAAAGTCGGTAATATTCCATAACCTATATCTCACTTTAAAAAGTATGCAAGTTGCGGACGCTTAAGGCTTTAGGTTCTGATTTAATGACTTACAAGTGCGGCTTCCGTTTCCCTGAAGCCCCCCCAAAATCCAGTTCACAAATTAGAAGCCACAGTAACCAGCCAAAACAAACCGCAGTAGCAGCTGTAGGGAGAGCAGCCCCTACTGTTGGTCCTTTCAAATAAAGCCGCAGCCAAAACACAAAAACCCCAAAACGCCCAACCCACAAAGACACAGACGAAAGGAGACCCAGTGGGAGTCCAGAGATGGAACTGGAGCTGGAGACAATGGACAGTGTCCAAGAGAGCTCTTGAATTCGTTGCTCTGTTGCATTTTTGAATCGCAACTTGGTTGGCGTGTAAATTTACTTGCTCGAATTCAATTCAAAAGCGATTATCACCACTTAACTGTCAGCGACACGACGCCAAACTCCAACGAAACCGAGACCCGCACTCCAAGCTTCCCCCGAAAATAAAAAAAACACTTTCAAGTCCAAGACCAAGTCCGAATCCGATTCAGAGTCCAATCCCGAGGCCAGGCACTTGACAAAGGGCATGGTTATATGCGGAGTGTCTACATGTGTATATGTACGTACTTTGCTGGCTCAAATAAAATTTACACTTACAAGTGGCGCTAAAGTCAAGGGCCCTGCATTGCACCCACTCCCCCCAGCTCCGATCCCTTTTCCAGTCTCACACTCCTGCCCCTCCTGGTGTGGACGTCAGCTGGTCAGACATGTCCAAAAGTGGCAAGGAAAGATGCTGCCAAAGGAAGGCAGGGAAGGGAAACTGTGCAGGGGAAAGGGTGTGCGGCAAATGTGGTCAAGAGTTTTACAAAAGTTCATCATCATGGTATGGACCTGGGCTAAGCATTTTTTCAAGTGCAACGCCAAAAAGATTTTCAATTTTCAAATATTATATAAGCAGTAAAGGCTGAGTGGAAAAATCATCACCAACTCTATGTCCTATAAACTGTGAGGGTCCATGAGCTGGCCAAAGATGTTTACGAAGTCTAGTTATGGGATATATAATCTATTAGCAGATAATATAAGGGATGTCTCCTTAAGAGTTTTAGGAATGTCTCTTAATATATCTTGAAATTAAAGGGAGAAACGAATACTAACTATGTTCTAAGCTAGAAAATATTTCGTACAAATTAAGGTATTATTTTTTATATATTATATATCTCCATATTTTAATAACCCCTCAACTTAGGTGTTTTGTCTTATAGAGTATCTTAACTTTGTTATGGTTTCAAAATCCAACCGCTTCTCTGCACATTCATAAAGTACATAATCATGTTCATGACGTGAACTCAAGTGGGTGTCGGGTGGGAGTTGGTTTGGTTTGGTTTGGGGTATCGGGTTTTTGGATGGCAGTTTGCTTGAAATTCTGGTAAGGGTAAAAGCTTAAACCGCTACAAGTATTTAAAAAGCACTTCACATGGACATACACGCGTTCACACAGTTTATATTAAAAGCATATTGAGAGGCCATGCATTGCTTAGTTTCATTAAATCAACAGAACTCGGAATTTAGACTCGAGAAAAGTGAACTTTAAACTTATGGAAAGCACAACAATGATATTTATTGGTTTGAAATGTATATTTATTCCAGATTCTGCATTATTTTTGGTCATTTGCCTAACTGAATAAACTCCTTGTTGGGAGGATATTATTGGGGACATCCACAGCCGGAACCTTCTTGAGGATTTGCAGGATGGGGTTTTGGTATTGTGGGAACGGGTATTATGGGTCCACCTGGATTGTCTCCGCAGGGTTCCTTTGAATTCGGGGGATCGCAGGGATCAGGACAAGCTGGTGGCGTATCATCGGGATAATCTGGAATGGTTTCTGGGGGACAAGGTCTTGGATCCTCAGGACAAGGGATAGGTTCCTCTGGACAAGGGATAGGTTCCTCTGGACATGGGATAGGTTCCTCAGGACATGGGATAGGTTCCTCAGGACATGGGATAGGTTCCTCAGGACAAGGGACAGGTTCCTCTGGACAAGGAATAGGCTCCTCTGGACATGGGATAGGTTCCTCAGGACATGGGATAGGTTGCTCAGGACAAGGGACAGGTTCCTCTGGACAAGGGATAGGTTCCTCTGGACATGGGACAGGTTCCTCAGGACATGGGATAGGTTCCTCAGGACAAGGGACAGGTTCCTCAGGACATGGGATAGGTTCCTCTGGACATGGGATAGGTTCCTCAGGACATGGGATAGGTTCCTCAGGACATGGAATAGGTTCCTCAGGACAAGGGACAGGTTCCTCTGGACATGGGATAGGTTCCTCTGGGCAAGGGATAGGTTCCTCAGGACATGGGATAGGTTCCTCTGGACATGGGATTGGTTTCTCAGGACAAGGGATAGGTTTCTCAGGACAAGGGGTAGGTTCCTCTGGACATGGGATAGGTTTCTCAGGACATGGGATAGGTTCCTCAGGACAAGGTGGAGGAGGATTTTCCGGACAAGGCGCAGGTAACGGAGGAGGTAAAATGTGCGGTGGCAGTGGCCTAATTGGTCTTGGTGGAATAGGTCTTGGTCCTATAGGTCTCGGTATGGGAGGCCGTGGATGTCCAATAGGTCTAGGTCTGGGTCTTTCAGGTCTCCTTGGAGGTCTCAAAGGTCCTTTGCCACCTTTATGGTGACCAGGTCGCTTGTGAGGCTGCTTATGAGGCTGCTGATGACCCTTCCTACCGTTTTCCTTACAAGGCCTAAGTCCTAGAGCCTGCTCAATCACTTCCAGGCAGGCTTCACTGTCATCCGCATATTGCAAGACAACAAAAGCCACTGGAAAAGGACTCTCTTAATTAATTTGTTAAACAATTCTGATAATTTAACTTACCCGCTAAGCAGATAAAAGTTAATTTCATATTGAACTCCCTCAGATAAGTTTTGGGAAACTGTATGCATCCAGTACCTTCATCTTCATCTTATATAGGACTGACAATGGCAATTGTGTAAATAATTGCTATAAACTTTAGGATAAATTTTAATTATAGACCCCAGAACAGATCGTTGCTAATTTTAATACCAGGCAAAATGAGTAAATGTTTGTCCAGGTCGTGGAAATTTTCTACTCAAGTTCAGGCCAACGAGATGAACTCGTCTGGCTCCTTCGTCTGAGCCAAGTCAGTGACTGTAATCTTAGACCACCGACAAGTAATAAATTCCCATTTTTTATGGCATCAAGAAAATCAAAACAATTTCGTTTGAAAAATTATGTTTTGGAAATGATGAGGAGCAACAAGAACGAGGCAGTGGGAGCGCCACTAAGAAGTTTTGAAGAACTGCCAGACGGGATGACGAGGATGCATCAAGTGGAAGACAAGCATGACGATGTGCGGTGCGTGCCTGGCTCAACTCATCCACAGACTTTGGAGATGGGATAGAATGGGATGGGATGAGATGGATGCTGGTCTGGTCCAGAGTCTGGTCTTTACGATAATGCCCCGTACGTGGAAGATGCACCGACTGACAGGGACTGTTGATTCCTGGAAGGGCTTCGAGACGAGAGAAAAATTGAAGGCCAAGACCGAGACAAGAACATATAGCCTTCGCCTTAGACAAGAAACATGGTTAACTCAAATCTCTTCACAAATATGCATTGTTTATTTGGACAAAAATCAGTGTTTTATATATAAGCCAAGTTAGTTTTTATCACAAGTTTAGCAGGTTTTCCTCTAAGTGCGTCTTCTCATGCCAGCTATTTGGGCAATAACTGCACAGTCCAGTTTTCTATTGTGAGCTGGAAAAGGTTTGGAATTTTTATATAATACCTTTCTTTAGGAATTATTATTAAGAGAATATATAAACTTACAACGACAGGCAATCACCTGCAGATCACATCGTGTTTGATTTCTCCAAATGTAAGTTCGGCGCACTTTCTCCCGGCAACCATCATTCATAAAATCTATATTTTTCATGGGACTTAGGCTGCGAACACATCTGTTACAGGTGTCTCTTAGCCTTTGGCAGTCCTGTGACTGACCATTGATAACCACACAACCGAGAATCAGCAGAAAGCAGGCAATAGTAACCAATTGCATATTGGAGTTTATAAATATTATTTTTTAATTGAAGGAAATCGAATCACTGATGATTCTGAAATCCAACTTGAGGTTTATATAAGAAGGCAGCAACCAGGAAAGGATAACAGTTGTATTTTGTTCTTAAACACTTAAATAAACAGATCTGTTACCAATACAGCTGTTTAGTCACAGAAGCTATACTAGTGTGACCTATTGTATCTTGATGATATAATATATCCGGAAAATATAGCTCCCTTAGCAGGTGTTTCGGGACTATTAAAGATCTTTGTTTCCTGAATCAATTTAAGGGGTATAAATACCCAGAAATTAAGTTCAATTTAGTCAGAGTAAATCTTCGGTTTAAAGTTATAAGCAATACTTGCAATGTCGAAACTTGTCTTGGCCTTGGGTAAGCTCAACCTAATACATTCTTGATATATTTTGTGTATTTTAATATATAATATATACTCTTTAGCAATCCTTTGCCTTTTGGTTACTCAGATCCTGTCACAGGAAGCTGAGAATCGCAGGTTTTGTGATCGCTTGACAGCCGATTGTAATCGACAGCAGGGCACTGTGGGCACCCAGGATGATACTGTGAATATATACAATGATCATTGCCGAAGAACTGATCGAACTTGGCGAAGGATAACTCGATGCCAACTTGTTCGGGCATCCTGCATATGTAAGGATATATTTTATATACTTAATAGTACCTGAATTTAAAGCTATTTCAATTTCAGTGACCATGGTTCGTTGCGATAATGTTACCTGCAAAAATGTGGCTGCTGCTTTGAGGAATTAAGGAGACTGATTACAACTATTATTATACAAAACGTATTCGTATGAAATGAATACAAATAAAATAAAAGCAAATATGCATTGGACAAAAATAAGCAACAATATTAGTATTTATTTGTATATATACTTTCACTATGGAAAAGATCTAAACCCATGACTAAATCTACATAATAAAAGCCAGAAAAAAGAATCCAATATATTCTTAACAAAAATTAAGCCGTTTATGAACGTTCTAAGCAATATTATGCTTCATTTAACACACATTAACGTACAAATTTCACAATGTATTGACACCAGAACGATGGTTTATTATCATTGTTTTTCTTAGTTTTTCAAAATAAGTATTCCTCAAAATACTTAACCAATAAGTCGTCGCATTCCTGCCAATCTGGCCACATTCTCACAGTCCAATCTTTGATCATGATCTGTATTTTAAAAGTACAATATTTAAATGCTTTTCTTATTTTAAAGGAAAGTTAAAACTTACGTTCGCAGGCCAGGATCTGCATATCACATCGCCTCACATCCTGCCAAACCCAACGATCCCTCAATTTTTCTCTACAATCCCTGTTTATAAACTCGATATCATTTTTGGGATGCACCAAACGACGGGTACATAGTCTACATTGCTCTTTGATCCTTCTACAATCCTGACGCTGGGCTTCCACTAAATAAAAGCCAAGGAATGTAATTAATATAAAAAAGCAGAGCCACTGCATTTTTTTTTAAAGAAACTGATACTGGAAACACTTTAAGTCAGTTCTTATATACTTCTGGGGAAGTATATATTATATTAATAAAAACACCTGGGGTCTATAAGTTGATCAAAAAAGTCTTATATTTTAAATCAGAGCAAGGAGAATATATAATATTAAATTTTATCTCTTTTAAATCAATGCATATTGAACTTTCAAAGATAAAGTTCATATAATTCACACAAAAGCTGACCTTAATGAAAATGGACCAAGGAAAGTCATTTTCAAGAACTTTTTGTTTTGAAAACAGTTGACCTTTTATTCATAAAATGACCCTGATTTGTTATACAAGTGAGTCGTATAAATAAAACCACGAAATGTATTATACAGCAGTTTAATTTTCTTACTTTACCCAAAAATGTGGAAAATTGCGCTGTTAGTGGGTAAGGATTATATCCTTTAAAATATTTTCAAGTAATCTGAAGGATTATATTCTTCATTTGCAGTTCTATGTGCCTTAAATTTATGGCTTATAGAAGCTCAATCTAATCGAGAATATTGCGAAAGTTTGTATAGAGATTGCTTAAGATTTACACCCAGATTGGGACGATATGATGAGACTATAGATTCCTTTAATCGACATTGTCGAAGAGAGCGCCTGAGATGGAATGATGTATCTCGGTGTGAAATGGAAAAGGCCACCTGTCTGTGTGAGTTTACTGAATAATAATATATAATTAATAATATAAGTAATATTGTATTGAATATTTCAGTAATCCTGCATCGCTGTGATGACATGTCTTGCCGGAATATTGCCGAAACACTTGGTTTATAACTTGTACAAAATATGTAATATATATCTTCATTTAAACAAAACCTTACAAAACACAAAGGAAAGGTTTCACAAACCTTTCATTATTTATAGCTCCATTGAGCTTAAAGTTTACAAAATACTTCCTTAAAACACCTTCATCAAAACAATAGCTTCTTCACTCGAAAAAAGATACAAGTAGTCTTTAATTAAAGTTAAATAAAAGGATTTAAGTTTTGTAAAATAAAATAACCCCTTCAGTTGAATTCAAGATGCTAAGAATATTGTTGTTGCTGGGTAAGTGGCTTTAACTTAACTTTGGCCCCAAAACTATTTTTAAAGAGTCTTTGCAAAGTTTGCAGCCTTTTAATTGGTATCAAGTGCAACTATTTTGGGGATCTTTTCAAGTGCAATGATGAGCTGCTTAAATGTCAAGAATCTGAAGTCAGATTGGGAAAGTTTAATGAAATTACCGATGGTTACAATGGAAATTGTAGCCGAGAAATTGGTGCCAAGTGGAGTAATATTACGAGTTGTGAACTGGAAGCTATTATATGTTTAAGTAAGTGGAAATATATTAATTATAATCTGTATTCTTTTTAATTATGAAAATTCTAGTAAACCAGATGAAAGGCTTGAAAGTAAACTGTGAAAATATTGCCGATGTTATGCATTTGTGAAAAATTAGTTCTGTAAAAGTATAATAAATGAATTAAAAAAAAAAGTGAAAGTATATTCTGTAAATATTAAATTTGATACAAATATATTTATCCCTCCAAAGGAACAACCCCCCAATAAAACCCTCGGTTTATACTTTCAAGTAGAATATTTTCCTTGGGGCATCTGTTTTGTCTTCTGTATATTTACCTTACCACAAATCTCACCCTCGACAGCAGGAAATATTTATGAGCTAATCATTTTTAATTATCATTGAGCGACAACAAAAAGCTGAATAAACTTTTGCTTCGGAAAATCTAATCACATGCTGGAACTGAGCACAGAAATAATTACACCAAGAGACCCCCGAAGGCACTCTGCCACAAAAAACAAAAAGCTCTTGCAAACTAAAATGAAAATGAGAAGGAAAATAAAAATAAAAATAAAAATCAATTTCAAGGCATTTCCTGGCCACGTTTTTCACGTGCCACGTGCCAAGAAGAAAAACAACAACACTAACAAGTTGAGTGGGGATTCCCCCCCCCCCATTGGAAGCCAAAATTTCATTACCATTTTTGCGGGACGGGGAGAACGGGAACGAGAACGCTTTTGCCCTTTGGCAGAGAGTCAATTACAGGAAAGGAATCACCCAACGATGTCGTCACCCGAAACCGAGTCCCAATCCCAATCCCAGGCCAGAGGATGCTCTTTATATAGTTGCTTAATATTTATCTAACGTCGGTAATCAGCCAACCCCGGACATGTGTCCCTGATCTTGATAACCAAACAGAAAGGGAAAAGAGCCTAGGACAGACAGTAATCCTGGCAAACAAATCAGAGCAGCCCCAAGATATACGTATGTATATCCAATGCGTTTTTAATAAACTCTCAGTTAGTAATAAAATTTTCAGTGAATTTGATTATGATTACAATCGCTGTGATGACAACAACACGATTGAGATCCCGAACACTTTTCCCCCTCAAAAACTTCGTTAGGTGTATGTGTGTGTGTTCAGAGTGTGAAATTTGGCAGCTTGTTACAGTTTTTCCCGGCACGGGGGGAAAATTTTAGGGGGCGCTGCAACCATTGACCCTAATCATGTAGCAGCTTGTAAAATGCGAGCGTGAAAAGAAAATTGAAAAGTTAGTTCAACGTTGGGTTTTCCTCCTCCCCTTCACGTCCGTTCAATTTCTAAAAGGCTGTTGATTTGAGAAATTCCTTAAACTTGTCCGAAAGTCGGTGAAGCTGTAAAAGCCAAAAGTTGTTGAAGGTATATATGTATGTATATATATTCCAAGATTTTCGGCAAGTTGTGCTCAAGTTGGATAAAATGAGGAAAGCTATTTGAGTTTGTAGAAACTATGAATGAAATGCGGCTGGATTTGTGAGTCTAAGCCAAAACTGTAAAGAGGTTTCCAATAAAATAGGGGATTTTGCGTAGGTTAAAAACAAAAAACAAAGCAAAAGTTTGTTTTAAAAAAATTTAAAAATATAAATAATAAGAAAATAGATAGAGTAGCATTAATATCTGTCATTCTGCTTAGCTAATAAACATTTTAAAATTATAATTAGACTTCATTATATACAATTATAATTATTATTATTTACAAATCCATTTCCTGCTCTATTATTTTTGTTACTGCAAAACACCCAATTCCTGCTCTTTTTGGAGCTTTAATTTTCCTCCAACAAAAGACCTTTAAGAGCGTTAAAAAACACTTTCCTTCCGAAGGATAATCGACAGCACACTCCCCAGGACAAAAAGGGCACACCACCCACAATGCATCGAACCACCCCCTTTTTTCGGGTGGCAAACACACCCCCCAGAAAACCCCCCAAAATGGATGGGCACACGTTTTGTTGCAATCCCAATGAGGAAATGCTAATCCGCATGTAATATTCGAAAATGATATGAAAATGCCAAACCAAACAACCACCCACCAAAAGCTGAGTCGAGTCCCCAGGATCCTTGGATTTATATCCGGTTTTTGTAGAATAGCAACATTACTCAATGTCAGCATCAAAATTGCTTTGGAATTCATGCATTCATTTATTTTGGAAAACGCAGTATAGAAATTTTCATTTTCGGCTGAGTTTTAATTCGGGGGAAGAGTCCTTAAATAGCTGAACAGCCGCCTGGAATGGGAAACGGAAAGTTTCATGCTGATTAAAAGTGGCAACTGTGTCTGCCACGGGGTTGTGTCTACAACACCGATGCTTTTTTTTTTGGGTTTCATATTGCAACCTTTTTATTGGGGGGAAGTCCTTTGAGAATCAGGGGGTGTTGGTGACTCATCCTTGTGCTGCACTTGTCCCTTGACATAAAACCCAACACAAAAAAGAGGAGTAGAACTGAAATTTCGTCACAGACGGTGGCGTGAAATTTCGAAACGAATTCTCTAAACTCGCTCATTGTAATTTCTGTAATGCCAAGCCAGAGTAAGTGCATGGGCATGAGGCAGAGCATGTGGCCAGGAAGTTTGTTTTGTTTAAAATTATTAGAATTCAGTTTGCTTGTTCCGCGGGTGGAATTTTGTGGTGGTTGCTGGGCGATTTGGGTGGTTTATTCTTTTTGGCATTGGTACAGCAGCTGGTGCGTCCTGGCACTTGGCACCGCAATGTGGTCAATGTGAAGGACCCTTGTCTCGCCTCAGCACTTGTTTAGGAGTTTACAGGGGGGGAATCCCCGTGTGTGTGTGTGTTTGCAGGGGATTTTAATTCATTGAAAAGGGCAGGCAAAAGCACAAAAGTCAAACGATTTGCCAACACTCAAACTCTGCTCTAAAAGCTGAGATTTTAAGGGGAAGGAAAACATATTGTATGCAATATAATAAAAATATACAACAGGTGGAAGCACAATAAACTCTACAGAAATAAAATTGAAACATGGAAATATAAGAAATCAAAATAGTTAGAGAAAAACATTGGTAAAAATAAAATAATAAAGTAAAAATTACTTTAATATATATTACTAAATATTTATGCTTTTATAATCTTTGAAGAAACTAAAAAAAAAACTTAGTTTTAAATATTAAAAACATTAAACTTTCTTTGACAACATAGTATGTATCTATTTCATATCATCTTACGCTTCTTTTTCCATAGTTTTGTAATCATTTTTTCCCCAAGATATTATCATCTTCCAATAGAATCATTAAAACCCTCTTTAAAACCAACCTTTTAAGATCACTTGCAGACATGATTCATAAGTAATTGCCACAATATCTGAACGATATCAGGCTAGCAAACAAAACAAATCCATAAAATTTACCCGGCTAGACAGATAAATTGAGCAGAAATGCCGCTGAACCCGGCAACGACTACGTGCTCTTTGGCTCTTTGTTGACAAAGCCACGAAACTGAAAAACAATTAACGTCCAATTTTGATATGTGTGTGAGCCAAGAGCTAATCGAAAGTCTCCATCGACCAGACACGGCAAACAAACACAGGGACAGTGTTCAGTTCAGGTAATAAACAATGTAATATTTGCCAAGGACAACTGGACAACTTGGTCCCAGGATACCAGCACAAGTGTGTTTTGGTGATAACAAAGGTGTTGCACAAGCAAGGAAAGGACCTGGCTAACAGAGATTTATCTAATGCACTAGAAAAAATATAATAAAAGTAAGCAAATATTTTAAAAGATAAGATAAGATATTTTAGAAACAAATTTGAATATCAAATTTTGTTACAAAATGTTCAAGGCACTATGGTATACTTTCAGTTAAAGTCTCTCGAGCCACTTTACTTTCTTTTGATTACAGAACAAGTGCAAATAATTTCTCTCCATAAATAACATACTCCGAGGATAATATCCTCATTATGTTATAAATTTTTTACAATTACTGGAATAAAATTCCCATTGTTTTCTTGTGTGGAATCGAAGATTCTGCTCATTAAATGTCAATTTCTAGTCGCCGCCGCACATCAAACGCTCTCGCACTGACCGAAAGGACATCGCAGATATCCCGCTGTGCGCGTGTCCTTTGAATTATCGCCGATATCCCACGTCCCTAATGCGATGTGTGTCTTTGAATCCTGCAGCCAAGGAGTATCCTCTTAGTTCATCTGGCGCGACTGAGTTATGTGAACATTGTTGGCTGGCCATCGCCTCCTTGGCGGTGAATTATTATCCCTTTCGCATATGTTGTTGCTGCTCCTGACCGGCATTGTCCTTCGTGTATCCTTTCAAATGTCTGTTGCCTGGGCACGCCTCACTCTTTGGGCGTTTTGCAGTTAAACGTCGTGGCTTCAAAGTTTTTTTTTTCGGGGCGTGTTCGTTTCATAAATTGCTTTTTGCTTTCTGTAGAATTTGGTTTCTTTTATTTTCGGCCTTTTTTAGATTTTCTTCGCCTCAAATTTCATAATTACCGGGGCGTGTGAGTGTCTGTGTGTATATATATCTTGTATATGGGTTTGTTTCCAATGCCCGGATCCTGCACTTGTTCGCCAAAGAGATACAAAAATCAATTTATTGCTTTTTTCTCTCCCCTCGTTTTTGGGTTTTTTTTTTTGTTTTTCGATTTTGGCCTGGTCTGCGGTCAATGTTCTTGGCCAGGCCGGGAGCCGTTGTGGTCAACCAAGTGTTGGACAGCATTATAAATATTTGAGCTTGCAGCTTATGGCCGAGAGTGGAGAAATTACTGCTGCAATGCGTTGAATGGTTAAGGAATCTGCACAGAACTCTGAACTCGGTCTCTCTTTGGGGATTACATAGTTATAGTTTTTGATTTTCTATGAAAAACTATCTTCGTGAAAAGTTTAAAGCTTAACTTGACCCATTTACCGGTTCTATAAGTCTGCAAGATTACAACAATTAAATGGAAACCTAATATTGGACAATTCAAGTCCACTTAAAAGTTAAAACGACCCTTTGTCCTCTCTCGATTAGCTGGCATATCCTGTGCAGGCATGTCCTATCATTATATATCAGCTTGGAGAAAGGCCCTGGCATCTATGAAAATTACACATTTGCCAACTGCTAATTGCAAGTCATAAATTAAGCCCTCACCCGAGGTCTT